AAAGATTAATTTTCGACAATTTTTAGTAAATTAATATCTTATTAACTATTGCGAAAATTGCAAAATGGTAGAGGACTTTTCTTCTCAGTTTAGTTCATTTTACCACTAAAAGATTTATCATTATTTTCCAAACACTCTATATATATATATATATATATATATATATATACATACATATATATATATATATATCCATCCTTATATTAATTTGCCGTTTGTACTTTAACAAGTTAATTAAACTATAAATATGCAATTTGATTGTTGAGAAAGATCTAAACAAAGATCAAAATCAGTCCTATTGCAATTTATAAATATGTACAAATACATAATGTTGTCGGACGTAAAAAAAGATCTTTTACTAAAATGGAAAGGGATTCTGCTATCTCGAATTTATCAGGAATATTATAACTGGCAAATTATTAACTGCAGTCCGAACAACCATTAACGAATAATAAACAGTATTAAAATATTTGAAAATGAGTTGATAGCACCGTATCCAACGCTCTCATGTTTCCGATTATCGAGGATTTAAAATCGAATTCAAGGATTATTCAACTATTGAGAAACTAATTATTTAAATATTATGTATAGTTTCGAATAAATATATAAAAGCATCGATTTACTGCGATTACTTATATTTTTTTATCAATATATAATAAACGTATTCATACAAGAGCAGTAAAACAAGACTACAATAGTGTTTCAGTGTCTTTTAGTAGATTTATATATTGAAATTGTCGTTTTGGGTTCTAGAATAAAAACACTTATTTCATTGCTCCTTTCGATAAATTGCGACATACGTGCCGCTGGTAAATATGAATAATTTACATTCTACATTATCTTAGTTATATCGTATTACATACGTATTAATTATCTCTACTCATAAACAAAACGCATTCGACAGTCTATATTTATATTAAATATAATATTAAGCTGATCGCTTTGAAAAAATAAAATATATATTAGTAAGGATATAAAGTGAAAAATATATTAGAGCCACGTAAAATTTATGATTAGTGTTCTACTTTGTAAAATAAATTTTACACTTAATAATATAGCATTTTATAAAATTTAAATTAAAATTAAGATGCTCACATCTTCTCTCTCGTGCAAAAAATCTTAATAAATTTCAATCTATTAATTCGATTGTATCTACCAGGTACTTTGTAATAAACAGGGCCAAGACGTTACCATTATTTATGCCTGAGAAGTAATCAGTAGGATCAACTGCACATCATTTATATTCTAGTTAAGCACCATCGCTATTTCAAATCAGTGTGCCGTTAAATTCCAAAAAATTTATCACATATAAAGCACTCTATTATATCTAACATCATTTTCTCGGTCTTCATCTCGGGTATAAGTAATGCTAACGTTCAAGTCCCGGTAATAAGATTACATCATTCATTTTATAATGATATACATGATGTGGCTTTACAGGAAAAATGCTTCGCTGAATTTTATTTGGCATACTTTGCGATTGGGATAAGTTACTGCATGATTTCAACAATCAATGAGGAATGTCAGTGTGGCACATATTACGTATGCATCTACATTGTGCGCGTTTTAAGTGTCAGTAACTATTCCTCGAACATTTAGGGATACAAATCATATGTCAAATAAAAATCTATTGATCCGAAGAACATTGAGAAAATATGTGTGAATTAAAATAAACACTTCCACCTAAATTTTCAAATAGATCGACGCAATCTCGTCTATAGAATATTATATTATATTTTTAATCGAATTCGTTATAAGCACTTAAAATTTATAATAATAAATCGATAAAATTCATATAAATATATACAAGATAAAAACTGATCTCAAAATATTAATACCCTTTATTTTGAAGAATAATGACAGTTCCAAATGAGCAAAATGTATCCAAGCCCTTTCTATTCTGTAAAAGAAAAATATGTAAAACATGAACAAGTAAAGCATATGGAAATTACACATTATATGTAAT